TTCATATTCATCTAATCCTAATTCTATCAAATCAAAAAAAGCTTTGTTTTCAACAGACATTTTAATTTAATATTTAATATTAATATTAATATTAAAATTAGTGTAACATTTCGAATAAATTATAGTAGTACATATCAAAAAATGGGGTGCTTTTTTTTGAAAAATTGTTTTTGCAAATATCTCAAAAAAAAAAAATCAGTTCTAACCCGTGTTTTCCTAGAACAGCCCCCATTTATAAAATTTTATTGATACAATGGCAGCAAATTTTTGGGCTTCTACACATTGGTAAATATTTCACCTATAATTAATGTAATAATTAGTGCAATTCTCTTTCTAAACAATTTAAAATTCTTTCTAGTCATAATTGGTTACTTAGCAAACAGCAACTTTTGGATAGTAGACAAGAAGATTTAAAATATATAAGTCAAAGTGAATTGTATAAATTAAATATATGGTTTGCTTATGGTAAGCAATTAATTATAATGTTGCATAAAAAACAACAATTATTTAATATTAATATGATGATGATCTTTAGTAATGACAGAACTTGGTAGGCGATTAAATGTAAGACAGGTTATCATATCAACAGCAATTACATACTTTAAAAGATTTTATGTAAAGTAAATATTAATAATATAATCACATTGTTCCTGCATGCATACATTTTATTTATATACTAAAAATTTTTTTGTTTGTGCTAAAGAGACTGAAATGGTTTATTGATTTTTTTCTTTGATGATTAATTATAGAAATTCATATAGAAATACTGAGCCAATGTTAGTATTGACAGCGTGTATGTATTTAGCAAGTAAAATTGAAGAATTTCCACTTCATATTAAGACGGTTATTGCTGAGACAAGAGGACTTAAAATAAGTATGAAAGATAATTTATGGTTTTATTATTTAATGTTTTTTTCCAGAAAATATTAATTCTAAATTCATAAATTTCTAAAAAAAAAAGATGGATTTACTTATGACAATCAAAAAGTAGCAGAAATGGAATTTTATTTATTAGAAGAGTTGAATTTTAATATGGTAGTTTTTCATCCCTATCGTTCACTTATTCAAATTTCAAAAGATTTTGGAACAAAACATGAAGATGTTAAAATGGCATCTTATATAATAAATGATACATATAGAACAGATTTATGTTTATCATATCCACCATACGTTATTGCAGTTGCTGCATTATTCTTACCAATTGCAATCAAAGAAAAATCTAATCTTTCAATAATAAATAGGAATAATGATAATGATAATGATAATGATAATGATAATGATAGTGATAATGATATTAGTAAAGAAATTGGGGTTGTCACTAGAAGAAATTCAAGAAAATTAATCAAATATGAAGAAATCAATAATATTAATAGTAGTAATAATGGTAACGATTATAAAAGTATTAAAGATATTAAGAAATGGTTTTCTGAATTAAATGTTGATATGGAACAGGCAAATATATAAATATATACACAACTCATAATCATTATTGATTATTAATTATCAATTTTTATTTTATTTTTTTTTAGGTTGTAGATATTGTACAAGAATTAATCATATTATATGATTTTTGGAGCGAATATGAAGAAGACAAGTCATATTCTGAAATTGATGGCATTTTGAAAAAATTAAATAAAAATTAGTCAATTAATTTATTATTGATTAATTCCCACCACACCTCCTTTATTACCAGATTTACAATAAACAAGAATGACTGTTAACCATTTCTCTCCCCACATCAATTAAAATTCTCATTACACGTCCACTAGTGGAAACCCTACCAACTTCATTACCTTTTCCTACCTCTACAACAAGAGAGAGGGAATTTGTTTTTGTGAGAAATTCACATCCCTCCCCCGAAACACCATTCCAACTGATAATCTAATTCTTGAAATGCCTCTACATGTTTATAGCAGTCAACTTCTATATCTCGAGCCGAAATTTGTGTCTTGGTTAGCAGGAGAAAGTCGGATTGCTTCAAAGAACAATGCAAAGTGATTTTTATTATAACATCATCTAATTAAATAAATTTATTTTATTTCTTTATAATAATCAGTTTGTAAGTACTACAGCATTATATTATAGTCAACTTTTACTACATTAAATAAGCATTTAATTAAATTGTTTATTTCTTTATAATAACCAGCATGTAAGTTTATTATATTATTAATTTACTTTTACAACATAAAATAATTATCATTTAATCAAATAAATTAATAGCAGTTGGTAAGTATTATTATAAATTGATTTACAGCACAAAATAATTTTTATTTTTTCTTCCTTCTATTATATTATTATAATAACTTTTGCAACACAAAATAATTATCATCTAATTAAATAAATTTAATTTTTATAATATAAAATTATTTTTATTTAGAATTAATGCCTATTTTTATAATGAAAAATTATTTGAAATAGCAAGATATTATTGTTAAAGATGAAAGAAAAAGAAGAGAAGAATATGGAATCTGTTCTGTTTGTGCAAGACATGATACTAATTACCAATGGTGTCAATCATGTGATCCCAAATTGTTAGCTCAAAGTTGGACTAGTAGTGGTAATGAAAATTAGACGAAGTACACAGATTGAGGCAAAAGGATTTAATTGTCATTATTATCTTGAATAGACTCCTTATGACCAACTCAGAATTGAAAAAAGAAATAGGCGAATGTGGTTTTTCAACTGTGTATAAGGTTTACCGGTCTAAATTTATTGGTTTGAATAAAAGATATTATTGTTGGAATGGTGATGTAGCATTAAAAAAGTTAAAAAATTCACAGAATATTTCTGACTCGCATTAAAGTAATAGGATCACATCATAGTGGTATTTGTGGCATTTCACAAGATCCAAATACAAAAGAATATTGAGATGTGGAGCTGATGGAAGTTTTAAAGATTATATAAAATCAAAATCAAATTATACAAGGTGGAGTAACAGAATTGCAATACTACATAGTATAATCTTAAGTTTAAGAACTATTCATAAAGTAGGACTTATGCATTGTGGTCTTCACAATATTTCATATTTTCAATATTTGACCTAGAAGGAAATGGTTGCAAATTTGGTCCCAGCTAATCAAGTAGCATCAAGTAAAGATGATATATTTGGAGTGCTGCCATATGTTCTACCAGAGGTTTTAAATAAAGAACCTTATACACAAAAGTCTGGCATCTATAGTTTTGGGATTTTAATTAACACATCAACAACCACTCAATGATCAACCACATGATCTAGATCTTGCTTGCAGGATCTGTGGTGGCTTAAGACCTCGTTTTTCAGATAATACTCCAGAATGTTATATTAGTACACTAATGCACAGATGCTGATCCTGAAAAAAGACCAACAGCAGATAAAATCTTAAAGGTGGTTGGATTTTGGAAAGATACAGTTGATTTTGATTTTCATGAAATTCTAAGATCAAATAGACCTAATTATTCTGAAAAAACAACTTGATGAATTAAAAGGAACGAGAAAAATATTCAAGAAAGCAGATAAAAAATCAACAATTTCAGCAACTGTTCGTCCAAATGCTGTTTATGCAAGTAGACTATTGAGTTTTACAAATCCCTTCATCCTGTAAATCTCAATAAAGTTACAATTATTAGTAATAATGGTAATTTTTAATCTTAATTATCATTATTAATGATATTTTAAATTATATAGAATCTTGACAAATTGAATTAATTATACCAGATGATTGAATTTATATAGTGAACAAATACCTCTTATTATTATCAACATTTATTTTAATAATTAATTAGAATATTACTTTAATGTCATTATTTTGAATTAAGCAAACCTTCCTTGTAGTTTAATCTATCATCATCATCATCATTCAAACATTTATATATATTGTTTTAACATTTTATCATCATCTATAAATGCTATAATAATAATAGTGAAAATCACCAGAGTGAAATGTACCTTGTTCATTTTTTTTAATCGCTTCATCTTTATTCCCAGGTATCATTCATTATATGGTATTTTTAGTTCTACAAATTCAATTGATATGGACGGTGCATTGTTCAACACTGCACCTTGGGAATGAATTCCTACACAAATTTTCATAAGAAAAATATTTATGTATACATTTTGATTTGTTTAGTTTCTTATCCAATCTGCTTTCATAGTGTAAATGAGGAATGATTAAATCTAATGAAATTAAATTTACTTTTAATAAGGGTTGATTTAAATTTGTTCGGAGATTATTGAGATATATGCGTTTTATTAATGTAGCTGACTGATCCTTATTTAAAAATCAATGCAGATCACCGGTTAAAAAACCAGTTCAGTTCGGTTTTTCATGTTTTATTTGAATAATTTGTTTTATTTGAATTATTCGTTTATTTGAATAGAAACCCTAGTTCTGGTTTAAGTGCAAGGTTTCTTTCAATAAATTTTAATTCAAATAGATTTTTTAATTCGAATTAATTTTTTTAATTCGAATTAATATTAATTATTAATATTAATATTATTAATATTAAAGATTGACAGTAATTACGAATAATTCGAATAAGAATTTATATTACGAATAGAGACCCTAATCCATACTACCTCTTCGATACTACAATGTAACGAACCAGATGTAGTAGACACCCTGTTTATGGCTGTTAAAAATAGAGTTATCAAGCCACTTATTCAAAATACTACCTTGTTCACTATCATATAAACAGCGTTGATCAGCTCACTTGCCAGGCGTCAATAAAGAAAAAAAAAAGGACCTCAAGAGCATATGTTTATCATTCTTTGTTGTGAGGGCATCAGGGTCAACCTCACTTGAATTCTTTCATTAGTATCATGAGCGAGATCAAGGTTGTTGTCTGACATGTTTAAAGATTACTTTTTATATTAAAGGAATAGTGGCACGAGTTGTTGGGGTGTGAGATGCCCTAATTAAATCAAAATTAGGTGATGTAACATAATGCCGATCAATAACGAACTTTTTTTTTTAAAAAAATAATATATGTAAAACTATATAAATAAAAATCGTATCAGAGCCTTCAAATAAAGAGATACAGACATGAAACTAAGAGAAATTATAGTAAATAGATTAAGCTTTTAGATTACAGAGAGTTTTTTTTTTGCTAAATAAAAAAAAATTTTTTTATATATTCTAAAGAAATTGAAAAAAGATTGCTAATAGGAAAACTTTATAACCAAATGAGATAGGAAAAAAAGCTCTCTGTAACTTTATTATAGAAGACTTAAACAATAAAATTATAAAAAGTTTTGTTTAATTTTATTATAAAAAAAAAAAGTTATCATGGTTTAAAATTATTCAATTTATTATTAAATTTTACCATAAAAATTTACATTGCAACTGATAAATTAATAGAAATTTCTTTTTATAATTCATATTTTCAAAAAAATATATTGTTAGTTGAATTTTGTTGTCAACATTTACAATGTATTGAAATATATGATAAAGATACTAAAAAAATCCGCACATAATAATTTGTAACATATGTTTGATGATCAACCGCCATCGAGTTGTGGTTTTTTTTTTCCGAATGAAATTTAAAAAAATAATGTGACTTGATGGTTTATCCATTGTGACAATTTCGAATTGATATTAAGATTAGATTTTTTTTGCCAATAAACCTAAAAATTAAAATGAAAACACCATCAAAAACACCAAAGAAATTGATAACATTCGATAATAATTTCATGAAAATTATTAATTATTATTTCGATGATAAGGAGCTTAATAATTATAGTGATAATGATAATGTGCATAAAAGCATACAGAAATTGATAAATTTGATAAAGGATGACCAAGCAAATTGGGAGAAACAATGTCAATATTTGAGAGAAATTGGTAAGCGCGGCAGGAGAATTTTATTATAATATATATATATATGAGTGATAGTAATAATATTATAATTATAGGAAAATTGTTGCCAACTTCAAAAAAAAAAAACCTTCAGCAATTTTTATTATCATTAAAAGAAGAAAATTTAGATGATAAATTTATCAACCAGATTGAAAATATTCTTGAGCCAATTATCTCCAAAATTTATTTTAGTTCAATTGAACCTTTAACAAAACGTTATTGTATACCGATATTAGATTCTTGTCATATGATTTCATCATTGTCATCATCGTCAATAAGTAATAATAGAATGTTTAATGAAATTCTGATTGAATATTCTAAATTTATTACACAAGAAAATTACTCTAACCAAACATTTTCTCAAAAGAGTAATTCAATATATATTACATTGGATTTTTCGTTAGGCTATCAAATAATAGAAGAAAAATTATTTGACACGATATATTTTCTAATTGAATCATTGAATATTGTTATAATTCAAAGAATCAACAACAACAATAATCATCACTCGATCCAAAACTTTGAAGCATCATCATCATCATTAATATTGTCACAGAATATGAATGATTTACAGCATTTAACAAAAACTATTTTGGCTTTATTATCAAAATTTGATAAAAAATTTAGACCAAAATTTAATAAAATCAATTTAGAAGAAAATTTAGTGGTCAACAACACTACTAATACTGATGATGGTAATGATGAAGCAACATTCTTAAAGATGATTAAAGATTTAATCAATGGGTGTTTAATAATGTGCTCAAATCATATTTATATCAAAGATGTTAGACAATTATCAGGAATGACACTTTCAGCAATATTTAATTTATTTGGCTCGTCATCACCAAATTTTAAAAGTAATCAAATAATTTATACATTTTTTTCACAAAAACTGAAATTGATTGGTAAAAGTGAAGATGATGAATTTTTATTAATTAAAAAAAAATTAAATTTAAAAATTCCTGATTGTTTAATAAGTGATGATAAAGGATGGACAGACGATGATCCTTTAATGTTGACTATTTGTAGAGGATTTTTATCAAATCTTTCAAGAGATGTATTAATTTGTCCCATTAAAGAAATAGAAGAATTTGGGAAAAATAATACAAATGATCACAAAGTGACATCCTTACATCAAATTTTATTTTTGTTTATATTAGAATTTTGTGATTTGTCTACAAATTCACAAACCAAGGTTTTATCTTTTGAAACATTGGGATTATGGTTGCAAGAAACTGAAAATATTCTTAAAAATGATGATGGTGGAATAGAAGATCTGATGATCTATGAAAAGAATAGAGTTGTAACGCCAATAATAAAAAAAGAGATCTTAAATATTTTCAATAAAAACATTTTAGAAAAGTTGATTTCTTATGTAATAAATAATTGTGATGATCCTATTGATGCTATTCAACATAAGGTAAATTAACTCATACATATTTAATTATAAGTATTTATTATTTAACCATTTATTCTTGTGATTTTGGCAGATTAAAACAATTTTTGAAGCTTTATTAAGTATTATCAATCTAGGAATTCAATCGGAGGAATTATCCAAAGATCCTTCGTCATTATCATTGTCTTTTTCTTCTACGCTAGAATTACAGTACAATCAATATTTAAATAATTTGATTTCTCAATTATTGTTGATGGATAAGTATCGTAAGGTTAAATACTCATTATTGAATCTGATATTGCCAAGAATTAGAACTAATTTGATACTTGAGATGCAAAATGATTTTATCGATAAAACTTTACAAGTTTTAAATAACCTTGTTATTGCACCTAAAGCTGCAAATTTATTAATTGGTTTTTTAAAACAAAGGCTAGAAGAAGATTATTACAATGAGGAAAATAATTTGAGGAGTAATAGTAATGATATTGTAGTAATAGATGCAGTGGCAGCAAGTGAAGAAAAAGAGAAAATAATTGTAAATTGGATGAACTTATGGATGAAGCCTTTATGTTTAAATCTTACAACAAAAAATAATGAAATATTAAGGAAAATCATTGGAGAGATTTTATTGAAGCCATTATTTAAGATTGATTCTCTGATATTCTGGAAGATTCTTGAGAGATTTCAAGATGAAAAATCAGTCAATAATATGGAGCTTATTAGAGATGAAGAGTATAAATTGAACTCTTTAATTTTAATTATAAAAATCGGCAAATCTTTGGATTTTATTGATGGAAATAAATTATTTCTTGAAGGTAAAAAAAAATCATGTTCTTTTGTAAATATTAATTAATATTAATTATTACTTTATATTCTTCAATTAAAAAAAAAATAGAACAAAGGAAAAAATTGCTTTATGATTCAATTTGCCATGAAGATTTAAACATTAGAAGTGATTTACTTGGATTAATATGTGAATCAAAAAAGGCAATAATAGAAATTACTGCACAAGAATTGGAATTATTGAAATCATTTTTAAAAATAAATATTAATTCCACTTCACCAGAGTTTAGACAAAAATTATATGGAAATTTAAATAAATTATTTAACAGATTGGAGATCAATACAAACGGATTATTAAGAGATTATTTATCCAGGAAGAAATTTATTGAAAAAAATCGTCATCTAAATCAAAAAAAGGAGTTAGAGAATGTTGTGATGATTGAATTGGATGAAATTAAAAAGAAATTCGATAAATATGAGAGATTTTTGAATTGGTTGGTTGAATTGTTGATGGCTTCGTTGTATCCTGGAGCATCATTTCAAAGAGTTTCTACCAGTTTAAATATTTTTAAATTATTATTAAATAAAAATTTTTTTTGTGAAAAATCAAAGTCATCAAAATCATCGTTAATTGTAAATATAAATATTAAAACAATAAGAAATACTAAATTATTATTATACTGTCTGACAAATTCATTTAATGAAATTCGTAGCTTGGCTTATGAGATATTGAGAGAATTTGTTTCACCGTTGCCCGGAATTGTCAATAATCAAGAAGAAGCATTAACAATAAAATATATATTGAAATGGGCTTTTGATCGTATGATAAGTGCAAGGGCTGTGGAAAGTGATAGTGGTGCAATGATTTTTCGACTGGTATTTAGGAAATATGTTATAGAACTAGGTCATATTATTGATTTTGAAAAGGAAGATATTTTAATTGAAGAAAGCATTGTTTTTGAAAAAGAAGTTTGCGAATATTCTTTGGTTTCATCTAGTATGTAATTAATTTTATTATTATTTTAATATGATAATTTTTAAATATTTAATAATCGATTTTTAACCTTGTTATATTGTAAATATATAGTCAATTTTATTCAAAAAATTTTAAGAATATTAAAGACACAAATTAACATCGCATCAAATAATCTTTTATTAGCATCAAAAAAATATCCAATGTATGGAACATTAATTGGACTTCAATATCTATTTTTAGAAATTAATTATAATTCAGATTTTGTAAAAAAAAATATTTTAGAATGGAGAGCTTTACATAAAGATGTTTTACAATTGATTGATCATGTGTGTCAAATAGTTTTAGAAATTTTATCTAGCCCATCACCTGAAGGTAATTTGCCTGAAGGCGTTGATGATGGAGGAACATTGGATATGAATGATGATGATATAACGGTTGATTATGATGAATTCTATGAAAATGGAGGAGGAAGAGGAGAAGAAATGAGTGATGGTAATGATAATATATTTGGGCCCAAACATCAAATTATATTGAGTTGTTGTTGGAGAACTGTTAAAGAAGCATGTACTTTACTTGCAATAATCTTATCAAGAACCCCCGCTTCACTATATTTGAATAGTAATAATAACGGAGGAGATAACGATGATAATGCTGATAATAGTAATAATGTAATTTACAAATTAAATATTAAGTATATATTAACTATTTAATTGATTGATTGATTTTTTTAAATTTATATATATAGTATGCATTAGTTGATTATGAACAAGTTCGTAAAGGTGGAGAATTATTTAAGAATTTATTAATTTCTATAAGACATCGTGGTGCATTTTCAGCAATATATCCCGAATTTTTAAAAGTTTGCACCAGATTATTATCATCAAACCAATCAGATTTTTTTGGTTTACCAAAAATTTGGTTGGAGGTAAATTTTTGAATAAAAAAAAATTTTATATGTGAAATTATCTATTAAATAATAATAATAAACTATTTTTTTTCCTCTTTTTAAAGGAAAATATAAATGCCATAAAGACAAATTCGATTTCAATAACAAGAAGAAGTGCAGGATTACCTTATTATATATTGGCAATAGTTTACAGTGAGTCGTCATCATCGAATCGTAGAATGTTATTACCTTGGGTGATGAAAACTTTATTTGAAATTGGATTTAAAGAGTTATCTGATGAAGATGCTGGTGCTAGTGATGGTTATGATTATGATAATAATAACGGTGATGATGATATTATTAGATGTCGAATTGAAAATCCAAATGAAAATAATTTGATAGTTGATAAAATGGTTGACATACCACAAGTACATGCATTTAATATTCTTAGAATTCTTTTTATGGATTCAAAATTGGGAACGGAAGTTTTATCATATGTTTCAAATGGTTTTGAACTTAGCATTGAAGGATTTTCTTCAAAAAGGTATTTAAAAAATTATTTATTTATAATAAATAATTAAATAATTAATAATTAATAATTAATAATTAATAATACTGATAAAATTAATTTAGTTGGGCAATAAGAAATTGTAGTGTAATGTTATTTTCTACATTGTTACAAAGAACTTTTGGTAATAAGAAAGTCAAAGATGAAAATCATTCAGTAAATAATTTAACTAGCAAAGAATTTTTCACCAGATTTCCAAAGTTGCATTCATTTTTATTAAATCAATTGGAAACTTTTGTTAATCAATTATTGGTTAAAAAAGACAAAGAAAATGTTGATAAGGTAAATTAATTGATTATATTTATTATATGTATCATATGAATAATTGCTAATTATCAATTAATCAGATTACTAGTAAGGATTTAAAGCATCAATCAAAAGTTCACACCGGATTATATCCTATACTTACATTGTTATCTAGATTGCATCCTTCGTTGATGGAAAGTACAAATTCAGTACTAAATATGAAATCATTTATATCATTAGTCTCATTATGTAACACTTCATCTATTTACAGAGTAAGTAAATAATTCATCATTATTAATTAGCTAATTAATGAATTAATATAATTTATGATGATCTTTAATGAAAGGTTAGAGAAATAGCAGCAAAAGCACTTGTACCATTAATCACAACAAATGATTTAATTTCAAAATGTATTGAATTGCTGAATGGATGTGAATTATTTAATCAAAATGAATTACATGGAAGATTAATTCAAATAAAATATTTGTTAAAAGGGCATTTAGAAAATAATTTTTGTGGATTTAATATTATGAAAGGTAATAATCTGCTTAATCATCATTTGACTATTCAATTATTCATTAATCATTTAATCAATCTAATTCATTTATCATTATTTTTAAAAAGAATTTATAGAAAAATTTTCCAAAGTTTTCAAATCTGAATTTTATCTTTTAACTAAAGAAAATCCATGTCAAATCACTAGAAACTTATTACTAGAAATAATTTATGTTTTTATTATTAATGATGATTGGATATATAATGAAAAAGATTTAATTAAACAAAATGGTAAATTTTCAATTTCTTTATTTCCAAATAAATTATACATATTACTCTTAATAAACAAGTAATATTATTAATAATGCATACATTTTTTAGAGCTTTTTGAATTGATCAAAGAAAAGTTTTCAGAATTGAGAAAATCAATTTTTTATTTATCATATTCAGAATTATTATCATTACCAACTAACGATCATATTATGTTTGATGAAGATTATTATAAGAATAATATTGGATATTATCTTGTTAAAAAACAAATGATAAAGATAATAGTTAAATCATTGATTAATAATAGTCAAGAAAAAAATATTTATTATGATGAGAAAGAAATTGATCAACAAAAAATTATTATTGATATTATAAAAAATAAAGATTATGAAGTTAGAGTTTTTGGATTGGGAATATTAATAAAGCAATTTGAAGAAAATATGGATAATTTCAATATTATTAAACAAAGGTAATAAATGTTATTTATTTATTGTGCCAGAAATAGATATTTATGATGATGTTTATTAAGATATGCTCTTGAAGTCTATTATTATTGCTAACAATTATATAATTGAAAATTTTTTTACTTTTGATTTCTATATATTATAAATTTATTCTAATTTATTACAATTATTTCTGCAAAAACAATTATTGTTTCTTTAATATAGAGTTCAAATACACGCTATTCAACAAGAATTAATTAATATAATATATGAAGAAGAAAATGATGATGGATTGAAATTGGAATATTATAAAAAAGCCATTAGGTTATTGGGATTAATTGATCCAAAAAATCCATTTCCTTCTACATCTGCTGTTCCTTTGACTTCTTCTCAATTGAATTTTGGAATCAGAGAATTTTGGAAAAAATTATTTAATTATTATTTGAATGGAAAAAAAAGTACAAAAATAGATTCAGTAATCGAATTCATTTTACCTATTTTAAGTAGATTATTATCACAAGTAAGGTTTATTGTTGTTGTTGTTGTTGTTGATATTGATATTTTGAAGTTAAAAGAGAAATTAATAAATCTAATTATATATGGTGATAAATAGATTTGGCAGGATAATTCAATGCCATCAGATTTTAAATCTTTATGTTTAAAACAATGGACTGAGTATATTGAAGAAAATACAAGGCCAGAAATTGTAATTAATTAAAATTTGTTAATTAATCAATTATCAATATGTTAATACCAATATTAATTAATTTTATTATTCTTAAAAAAAATATTAGAAACTTAATTTACGTGAAATTGCTTCAAAATCCCTATTTCTATTTGCTAATAACAATTTATTTAGTGAAGTTAATAATAGTTCATTAAAATCTCATATTATTCAAAATATGATAACTTTATACTTGATATTAATACGTTTAGCCCAGGTATTTATTTTCATTATTTATTATTTATGTTGTAATTTGTTATTATTTATTTATTATCATTGTTTATTAAGGATGATGACGTTGATATAAGAAATGATACTGCCTCTATTATTTCTAAAGCTAAAAAATTAAAGGTACTCTATAATATGTGTATGTTTTGTATATTTTTTTGCATAAATGTTTTACATATATTTTTTTATTAATATTTATTAGATACCAATAAATTCAGATAAAGCAACAGAATTATGTTATGAACATATTTCAACTCATTACCATAAATCATTACATTTATACATTGCTCTATTACAAAATTTAACAGGCGATGATAAACCTGGTAGGTAGTTAATTCTCTTTCGCACACAAACACAAACAAAATGCCTTTTCTTTTTTTCCAATCTTTAATAAATATTTTATTCATTAATTCTATTAATTATTAACTTCAATTTAGAAATAATTTTAAAATCTGAATTGTATCCAACAAAAGTTTTATTTGCAATTGAAGATCCAAATACTTATAAAGAACAGCTTCTAGATATTCAACTATCGTTTAAACATTTGAAATCATTATTAAATTTTAATAATTCCTTAAATTTTCCAGACTTATTTAGAGTGACTATACCAAAGTTTATTTTGGATCAATTTAATAATGTTTTGGAAATATTATGTTTTAAAGAAATCCAGGTATCAAATGAAAAATTTTTTTTGTTTAGTTAACGATTTATAAATTGATAATTATTTTTTTAAAAAAAATTCATTTATTTTAGGAAGGGAACTTCGGTCCTTTAGGTTTCACATCAAAACCAAAGGTTTTTTTTGTAATTTATAAAATCATTTTGGCATTAATTATTATGATTGAATTTCTGCCAAATATTGAAGAAAAATTAAAATATATCAAAGGTTTGTGATGATATATTATTAAACTTATATATATATATATTTTTAATATGTAATTTGATTTTTTTTTTAATTTAGAGATTGAAATGATTTTGAAGAAATCTTTGATAAATTCAACCAAGATTAAATTACATCCATTATTAAATAATTTAATATATAAAGAACTTATAACCGAATTCTTTAACAATAGTAGCGATAAATATTTTATTGATGATGAAAAATTTAGCAATGATTTTAATAATTGGTTTCTTTTGGGCAATTAATAAATTTGTATAATGGCTTTATTTAACAAATAAATTCTAGAGGTTTTTCATTATGTATTTTTTATCGGTGTTGGCATCTAAACAAAAAAGAATTTTTTAAAAAAAAAATCGAAAATCGGAATCATGAATCACGAATATTTAAATTTACCCAAAAGATTCTTCTAGTTTAGGAATTGCTTTGGTTGAAAGATAAATTGTTATTGTAGGTGCTGGCATTTTTTTTTTAGAGGTTGAAAATCTTGAAATTATTTTATCATCATTATCACATTCTCCCATTCTAACGCTTTTTTCTACCTCCATTTTCGTTTCTTCTTGTTCTTCTTGTTCTTCTATTTCTTCTATTTCTTCTATTACACCATCACCACTGTTTTGTTCTTCATTTTCTTTTTCAACAACAATATCAGCATTGTTGTCTACCATTACTTCAGTTGCTATATCCTTTTTTTTTAATTCTTCAGATTTTTTTTCATTAGGAAAATTTCTTCCAATTTGAGTATATTGATGTAATAATCCATTCATTTCTCGCTTAATTATTTCAACTACTGTAATCGCTTTATTAATAGCTGATCCTTTAGCTGTAAATATCACTACTACAACACTACTAATACTTTTCATATCTTTTTGATTTGTCGTTGTCGCATTCTTTTGAAAGCAAACAATTATCGTAAAATCATTATAATCATTATCATTATAATCATGACAAAAAAAAAAATAAAAATAAAAAAACACAAACCTGAAATACTTTTAATCCTGTGTGAACATATTTCTTTATTTTACCTGAACTCAATATCTTTATACTTTTGGTTTCTGTCGTTTTTGAAACAATTTCTTCGTTAGTATTACTCATTTTGTACACGAATCAGTTTTTTCCACAAAACTTTCTATAATTAGGAAGATTTCCTTTTCATTTTAAGGAAATTTGCCCACAAAGGGGGAAAGACAAAATAAAGTGTCATCGATAGCACATCCAGATTTTTTATTTAAAAATGGTATCTTTATTTCTTTATATATATACACATATAATAAAATGATTCTGTATAGTATTAATCTAATTTAAAACCATTAGTTTTTCTTTATCAATTTATAAACTTCAAATTCTTCTATCAAATGAACATTTTTATCCTTATTTCTAAGTTTCAAATTATTTCTATATTTACCAAAAAAATTATAATAATAATAGTAACAATAAGATTCATTATTAATACTATTATATAATCCCAAGTCATAAAAATCTATAGAAATATCATTAATTTGAATATCATCTGTATTAAAATTAAGATTTTGACTATTATGGTGTATGGCATGTTCAGGATCTTTAACCCTACTCAATATTGAATTATTTATTTGATCATCTATCTTATAAATAAAACTTTTGTCAGTTCCAATTGAATAAGCTTTATCTGGTGATCTCTCTTTTATATTCCAACAAACTGGATTATAGCCACCAACTAATTCACCTGTTTTTTTAAGTTTCATGATGACTACAGTTTGTTCAATATTATAGCATTTATTCTCAAATACTGATCTAGAGAAACCATCACGAGTTCCACTAAGTATTAAATTAAATTCATAAGGTAAATCATTTATATTATATAAACCATTTTTGTAATCAACCCAACTAGAAATTAAATATTTCATTTGTAAATTTAGCAATTTTCCTGTTCTTGCTCTTGGACCTTTTTGTAGTAATAGCTGTGATTGCCAATTATCAGTAATATAGAATTGAAGAAGCTCTCTATAAACTTTTTCATCAAGAACTTTTCTATATGGTGCAATTTTTTCATTAAAATCTCTAAATTTAATTTCCTTGAATCTTATTAATGGAACAATATCATCCAATAAAATGCTCAACTTTTTAAAATCATTTTTATTCCATTCTGATAGTTCCTTTTTTTCTTCCAAATGTTCAATTTGTCCTTTTCCCCACTGAATAACACATTCCCAAGCACCAATCTCTTCTAATCCTAAATTATCTTTTTTTAATATAGACATAAGCATAGGTTTTTCAATATATTTGAAATCATCAGACTTTAAAAATAATTCTGGCTCTTCACTAAATATTTCTTTACAATAATTTTGAAGCAAGGTAAATGATTGATATTTTAATGAAGTTTCATTAAGATAAGTTAAATTTTGTTTAATCCATCCTTTTCCTTTTTCTAATAAATAAATTTGTAAATCCTCAATTAATTCACTAAAATCTAATTCATCACATGCTTTAAGAAGTTCAAAAACTTCATCTGGATCAAGATTAGCTATATTAATAATTCCATTATAAATATATCTTTTGAAAATAAAAAATTTTTTTTGAATAAATTAATAATTATAATTATAATTGGTTAATCAGTTAATCAATAAACTACATTAATCTTACGTTAAAAGAACTTCAAATACTGTCGGAGAAATATTTTCTTTTTCAAATAAAATCATACTACCATCTTTAGATCTTTTTATCCAATTATTTGACAAGGCTGCTTTAAAATATGAAGACCTTGCTTTTAAAATTGTTGAATGAGCTTTAAAAGTTCTAACATCCTCCTCATCTATCCCTACTTTAATCTCTGTATCATAAAAATCTGATTCATTTAATAATTCTGATAAATCATTTATAAGCTTAAAAATATGTTTTAATGGTAAAGCATCATCATTAGAAGTGATAATGTCATTAAAAAATAATTTTATTTTTTCTAAAGATGAAAAACTTGTTGACATTTTGGAGAATAAATTTGTCGGAAAACAATTTGAATTGATTGTTATTATTATTGCTGAATATGATGTAGATTACCACATATTAATATTAATATTTAAATGATCGTGTTCAGGGGGGTCATGTGAATTGTTGACATATATACAAGGACACAAAAAATTTCGTGCGCTGGAACACAACATAAATAATATTAAAAAATCCTCATGTGACTTCTATATAGTCCACTTATATTCAATTTTTTAATTGCATAATTTTAAACCCATACAATTCCTATTACTATATTAATATTAATATGATGTACTGTGTAACCTAATTCTACCCTTAACATTAATATTAAATTTCGGACGTCGATCCATTATCGATAATCAATTTTTTGTTATTCATGCTCTCTTATATTACCTAATAATAATATTATTATTGATATCAGAATTAATAGACCATGCATGAATGACTGATGATAATAATAGTAATAACAAAAATTTGCGGATCTTTTTTGTGAAACGACAGAATTTTGTGTATATTTTGAAGTTTCACGAAATTTGCGGATTTTTTTTGCGGATAACTACACGATTATCATTATTATTATAGTCGGAACTTATTTGCAGCAACAAAACCAGACAAAGTGAACATTGGTATTACCAAAAATTTCAGGATCAACATTTGATTATTATCATCACAATTAGTTTCATAATGTCCCATTTGTTAAATGATATATAGAATTACCCTATATAAAAATAATTTTAGGTCTACCATGGAACCCAAGAATTATAGTACAATTAAAAGTATTTTAAACAATGAACAAGGTGTAAAAATTACCCCTTATATTTTTAAATTAGCAGATACCAAATCTTTGCAAACATATTTAGAAAAGAAGGTTTAATTATGAAATTTACCAAAAAAAATGTTAGAAAAAGAAATCATAATGAAAGTGTACTATTATTACCCAACAAAAAACAGAAATCGTTAGAAAGGGAATGATTCTTATTATTACAATATTGATTTATTTATTTTTTCACTGACTACAATTCTCCTTTATGAAAACAAATTTTGTATTCAAGAATATGACATTGACATTGAAACAAAGTAAACAATCCTGCTTTGTGTTGGAACATTATAAAAACCACCAATTCACTTAGTTTTCAGGTAAAAAAATCAAATATCAAATCTTTGGTTTAAAAAACAAGCAAATAATCACAAATATTTATACAATATTTTCATTTATAATAACATTTTTTTAAAAAAAATGTTACATTCAATGGTGAATTTTTTGTGGGTCATTGATCTATAATATTGCATAATTTATGAGAAAATTGAAACTTTGTAAAAATATATTAACCAAAGTTATTTACCTGCATAACAGATTGAATTTTGAGCTATGTAATCTTGTTTTTTAGCTTCTGTAACTCCTCTGATTACAGAATTGCCTGATCCAAGGAACCATTCTCACAAGTACCAGCTATTTCATATCCAGGTGATAGTTTCACCTTGTTTTCATAGCTGATGAAATAAATTTTCAGTGACATCCTTCAGTAGAGCCAATCACTGATACAAAAGCAATTATCTTACATTGTAATAACATTTTTAAAAATTGTTTTATAGCTTCTTGCGTAATTGTTCCCTCCAATATTAAACAATTCTTTAAACTTTGAGAAAGTCCATTGACTAAATGATGTTTGTATTATGTAATCAAAGTAGTATTAGTAACTCTTTCTTAAATGAAAATAATTTTAAGGGGATTAAAATATTCACATGGAATAATCACCAGTTTCAACAATTAAATTAACATCAGCTTCATCATTTTGGAATCCTATTTTACTTCAGAAATATCTCAATAAATCTTCATTATTTGAAATAAGATGTTTCTCTTGCTTATTCTTTATATAAATAGTGACATCTTCAGTTTCAGTGTCATCAGGAAGGGTAAGTTCGGAGATTTCAAATCCTCCAATGTTGCATCTTTTTCTGCAATTACCTAAGTGAATTGTTTATTTTTTTTTTTGTTCCATATGTGGCTTTTATAATGAAAACATTTTTTATACTGCAAGTGTGCAATCAAGTTACTTACTTACCAAGTAGTTCTTATGTTTGGCACACAGCTGGTCTTGCTTTGCCCCCGAATTATTCTACCCACTGACCCTAAGTCCAAATATCAACACATGTCTAGTTTTCCTAGAACCTCTGAATTACAGTTGATCTTACTATCTTACAACCATTAGTCTAGATAGCTTACCTATGGCACACATCTGGTTCATAGAACCTCTGATTTACAGCCAATAACTCTTTTATCTTACAATCTGGATAAAAGATCCCTAATTTAGTGTATCCAAAGCATCTCCTTGGCAATATGCTTAATTGGCAATCCGTTTATAAATGGGTGCAATGTCAATCATTTTATTATGAAATTTTGTTGCTAATTGTTATTAATAAAATAAGAAATACCCCAAATCTCACCATCTTCACAAGTTATTTCTCATGTACACACAAAAA